ATTAAATTATTAATAATTTCATAAGTACATTAATAAAAAGAAAATAATTTCTAAAATAGAAATAAATAAGTATTAATTATTATTTGATTAATTAAAACTAATCATCAAAAATTAATTTAATTATTTAAGTAAATTAATAATTAATAGAAAATAATAAACTAAATATGAAAACCACTAATAGTAAATTAATTAATTAGCTATGAATGAAAATAATATTGACAATTCAAGTAAATTATTTAAATTCATAACAAAATTATTAATATAGTAATAGTTATAAAATATAAATAAATAATTATTAATTAAATAATATCTAATAATTTATTTAATAAATTTTTTCAACCACTTTACCAATTTTTTTTGCCTCAAAGTGTAATTTTTAACTTTTTTTATTTGTGAAAGATGAAAAACTAAAATAAAATATAAATAAATCAATATATATATAATCTACATAGTTCAAAATAGTGTTATTTATTCTATATATAATCAAACTTATAAGTTATAACACTAACTAATGTTTAGAAAATTGGACGAGACCAGCTAGTCAGATTATTATTAAACCATGACCCAACCCTTAACCAATTCGATCATACACCTAATCCTATTTACTAAAAAAAAAACAAAAAAAAAGCCAAAACCATCCACCAAACTGGTCTAACCTAAGAGCTAACGGATTGGTCTTGCATAACTTTTTTGCTACCTATGTGTTTTAAAGTACTAAAGGCACCTTATCATGCTATTTTTGCCATAAAATAAGGGTGATCATTTTAGTGAGTTGGAAAATTTCACTCTTGGACCTAAATTTGTGTTTAAGCCCTAGTCAAGGCTCGGGCCCTCATTAGAGCCCCAAATTTTAGGGTTGGGCATAGGCCTAATACTTTAAATCCGCCTTGGGCTTAACTTAACCCACATATATTTAACTATATGTATATTATAGATAATATAATATTTTATATTATATAGAAATATGGCATTCAATGGGTCAGGTTCGACCCGACGAACCCAATGTTCATGAACTAATTAGGTTGGTTATGGTTCTAGGAATCGGAACCGATGAGTTGACTCTAGTTCCAGATATATTGTCCTGATTATTATCGATTTGTAACCGATTCCACCTATTCCTGAACCGATTCAAACCCGACCCAATAGTTAGATTTCTTCTCCTCCCCTCTTAGTCAAACCTTTTTGTGTTGTGACATTATCTTATTCACATCATAGTGATCAAAATCCAATGTTTAGTCTATAACACTAATGACCAAACATCCCCATTTACCTTTGTTCACTAATGACATAGAGACAACAAACACACTACAACCAAAGGCATGGGTCATGGCATATTTGGTGTTTCATTTTGCTTATGACATCTAGTTTGGTTCAATCCGGTTCATAAGAATGGATAAATTGAAATGCTAGTTAGGTTCTTAGTTTTTTTTTTTTTTTTTTTTAAATGTTAGGTTCTTAGTTCTAACCGAATTGAATCAAACCAACTAAATGAAAACCACTAGAAATTTGTAGTTAAAAATTTTTATTAAATAACTAGTAAAAATTATTAAATATTTAAAATATTTAAAATATAATTAAATAATAAAATAAAATATTCAATGAAATTTTTAAATAACTAAATGATTGAATGATCAAATAATTAAATAATTAACAAAAACTATTAAATATTACTGAAATAATATAATAACCATGATAAATGATTAACGAACTAATAATACATTAATATAATTAAATGACTAAAACACTAGTGGCTTAGTATGACTATATTAAATAAATTTAATTTTTCTTTATAAATGGTTGAGATTGAATTCAGTTAAACGGTTAAGATTGAATGGAAGTAAAAAATTTGAAAGACCGCTAAAATAATTGATGCGAACTCTCTCTCGCGCACAAGAAACCCTTTCCTTCTCTATTCACTTTACCAAAAGTAATTGGTTCTCACATGATAAGTTGCTCTCATCACAGTTTTCTACTTGTTTACTTTTCTTTACGACAAATGTGCCCTGATTCCGGAAGTTCTCTAATACCTAGGAGGGGTTACTTTCCCAAAAGTAATTGGTTTTCATATGATAAGTTGCTTTCATTATTATTTCCCATTTGTTTTATTTATTTTATGACAAATGTACCCTGATTTCGAAGGTTCTTGATACCTTGGAAGGGTTACTTTGCCAAGAATAAAATGGCCTGAACATGATGAAACGATGCTGCACGGGAACTCCTTTTCGTCTCAATCCTCCTTCCTCTTCTAGCCCCTCTTCCAAGCCTACCCTTTGCAAAAATCTCTACGTGCTAATTATAGTTTCCTACCTTACAACAAAGAGGGGTAGTTGTCAGCACTTGATTTTTGCTTAGTCTGCTACCTGAACCTCCAATGTACCCAAAATTCTCGATCAGACACTCCCGATGTCTCTAAAACACCTTAAAACCCAAAAATCCCAACTTTCAGCCCAAAAGCCCCCCAAATCCACCATTAAACCTCTTTGATACTGATCTGATGACCCCGATCAACCCCCATTTACACTTCAACCACTAAATCAAACACAACCATCAAACCCAAGACCTCTCAAAACACCTACCCGTAAAATTTCAACTCAAGATTCCCTTATTTATCTCCTCATCAAATAAAGATTCCATTTTGATCTCTCTTGTTAGCTTAAACACTCAGAACCCAGATTACCTTGATCTTGACATATCCAAACCGATCATACCACACCTTTAGACTCTGGATATACCATAACACTTGCTTATAAAATTTTATCCCTAGATTTTCCTACTTGCCCTTCAATCAAACCAAGATTCCGTTCCAAAACATTCCGTTGACCTAAATTCCTACGATCGTGACCCCCCTCAACCAATCAGACATTACCATCGGATCTCGAATACCCTCCACCTATAAAATTTCAACCCAAAGCACCTTCATTTACCCTCAATCATGCCAAGATTCTATTTCAAGGCTCTAGATTGACCCGATTCTAAGTCCATTCGATCCGGGCCCAGTTGTCCCAATCTAACCTTACCAATCACCTCAGATTGACCAAAAACCATACTCTGTGAAATTTCACCCAAAATAGACCTCGTTTGCCCCTCAATTATATAAAGATTCCATTTCAATGTTCCAAATTAACCAAATCAAACCCTTTCCACATATGACCAATCTGGGCCCATTTGGGCCAATTTGATCCCACCAATCACATCAGACTGTCCGAAAACCCCACCCTGTAAAATTTCAGCCAAGAATACCATCATTTATCCTTCCATCTAAACAGATTCCATTTTGGCCAATCTCACTGGCCTGTACATGCACGACCCCACTCCCCTGTCAAACCCATCTCAACCCCCCATCTTTGGCCCAAAAATCCCCACCATTGAACCAGAAGACCAGGTTTAACCCTCTGGAGCCAGTTTGACCCAGTCTTTCAAAATTTTCAAAAACCGTCATCGGGTTTTTCCAAAAATTACTAAAATGCCATTTAAACCTAATATTTACACTTTCTTTCATTCGAAAGGAAAGCGCGCGGAATTCGTTTTTCAGACGCTATTCATCTCCTTCGATAGAGAACCAGAGCGGTGGCAGTTCTCAGTTCGGTAACCTTGTCCAGCTCCGGTGTATCGTCTCCCCTCTTCGAACTGTTCATCTTCATCGCAAAGCGGCGAATCCATCGGTGGCGAACGACCCTCATTCAGCACTATTCATCGGCGTCTTCCTTCGAACCCAAAACCAGAGCGGCCGCGGCAGTGAGAAGGATCTCTCGACATAGCGGCGTCCCCCTTGCACCTCTAGCCTCTCTCTTTCTCTCATTTTCTCTCTTCCTTCGATCTTTCCCTCCCTCTTTCTCTTCCTCTATTCTTCCCTAGTCCCTACCATCCTTTCTGTCGCTTGTCCACTGTTCGTCGTCTTCCTGACGAGAACAGGGAGCTCTCAGCGGTGACGTTTCCCACTTCCACTCACAACCAATCAGTGCTCCATCAATTCTTGATAACTTTTATTTTAATTCCTCACCCCCTTGTCACCATTCTTCGGTTCCCTAATCATCCCCCAAACTTTTGCTCTCTGTCTTTTCCGCGGGTTAATCAGAACTTCGGAACTGGTAATGGCATTTCACTGTTTAAGACCACATCCCCCTTTTAGCTTCGAACGACAAGCGTTTCCATCCTCACCAACTTCCTGGTCACAACCTACAAGCACCTCTGTTGTTTGAAGACAAGTCAGACCGAAACTGATTGGGACCTCCTTATTCCATCGATCAAGCCAAAGTCGAAGCCCGACCAGTTGTTAGTCATCATCTCAGTTTAGAGAAAGAGATCGAAACGGGCTGTGATATCCCCTATTGCAACGTTGATCATATTAATGCTGAAATCCAATTAACGAGGTTAGTTTTATTCTCGTTTTCTTTGTCTTCCTTAACATTTTACCTTTTTTCTTTTCTTTTCTTTTAAACACCAACCCAGTCCCGTCTAGTTTGTCCCCCTTGCTGTGGTTTTCTTGCGTTCTTGTGCATGCTCTGTACCTTAAAACCCCTTGAAAGAAGACATTAGCTTGATAGTTCTTAAAAGAAATGGCTTGTTTATTGGTTTTATTTTAATTGTTGTTTTTTCTCTTCTCTAATTATATCACTAATGATATCGTTGTTTATTTCATTCTATTTTGTTTAGCTTCTACTTGGAGATTAAGTTCGGTTTAGATATTTGGTTGATTTCTAATGGATAATATTAGTTCATTAATTCCTATTTTGTGTAATTCTTTATTGTTGGATAATCCAAGAAATCATGGTTATGATGACTAGTCCTCATGTTCACATTTTGTTGCTCGAAGGAGGTAGTGACATGGCCTATGTCTTTGGATGTATTTGCTATTGTTCAGCCCACTCTGTACTAAGCCCATCTAGCTCGTATTAATTTCTTTAGTTTTCATCCTTTTAGTAGTGGTATATGATTGGAGTTAGCTTTGAATTAATTGATACTCTCGGAAGCTGATTTTTTTAATAACACGGGTATAAGCGGTTAAGACCAATTAACAGTCATTTGATTACTTCCCAACCCTTTTTGGGTTCATAATGAACAGAGACAATGGAAACGGTTTAGAATGTGCTTGTGAAGTTTGGAGATGGGGAAAGAATGTGGATAAGCATCAAAGGCAGCGACAAGGATTTTGTAGTAGATGTTTCTTGTAAGTTTATTTTCTATTATATTTTTCTGAATTTGGATACTAATAGAGGTGAAATTTGCTTTTATCCTTGGATATAGTGGTTTCTATCTTGTATGGATTTGAATATTGCATTTTGAAATAATTGAGTCAACCATTATAATGTGCTTCTGTTTCTCCAATAAATTGAACCAAAACAATTTGTGTTGTAACAATTACAATATGAATACCTTCTTGTTTATATATTTTTTAATAAGAAACTTTCTTCTTCTTGGATTTTGAAGCAAAGTGATTTTTTGTTTGTACACATTTGGAATTGCAAAACTAGTATTTTTTAGCTTTTAACTCCATCTTGCTCTCCTTTAGGATAGTCCCTATTTGAAAGACGTCTTCATGTTGAATTGCATTAGAAAACCTAAAAGTGCTATTCAGTAGAAGAAATGCACAAAGATGCTGGAAACCAATTTTGGTTCTGCAGAAAAGCCTATGGTTCCATTTTAATAAGGTGCTTTAATGGTAGAGCTTTAAGAATATGTTCTACTAATACTTGGTATTTGAGATATTAATTTTTCCCTTGTTATAGTGAAGATTTAAGTTTTTAATGGCTAAAAAGGACTTGATTGGTAATTTGTAGGTGCTGTTACACTTACACATATTTATCTTGAGGTATACATGTTGGTGTTGTTACATTTTATCATTTTATTATAAATTTAATGGCTTACTTCTCTTAGGTTTCTTTTAATTGGACAAGTACCAAATGCATTTCAAGGTCTTACTCTATTTACAAATATTTAAGGGTTCTCTATTGAGTTTAAGTGCCATTTCCTTTCCATGATTAGAATGTAGGTTTTTAGTTGTTAGTATACTAATAATTTCTTTTGTTGTAGTGAACTCTTTAATAACAATTTGAGTAGTCAAATGCCTTCCTCAATGGAAAACTTGTCATCTTTAACTACCTACTAGGTTGGCTATTTTGATAAAAGTTCTTATTTCCATGTGATTGCAATATAATGTATTTGTTTTTGGTATGTAGGCACTTGTAGAACAATCAACTATTTAGGACTCTTGATGTTTAACAAGATTTGCCTTTGAGAGATTTGTACTAATCTAAACCATGTGTTATTTTAAATTATTCTAAACCATTTGGGTGGATGGTATTTTCATAGGATGGATTATTAACAAGCTAACCGGTATTGTATGACCAATGATTTATGTAATTTTTCTAATTTATATTATAGATTTTCATATATATTAATGCAAAATATTAATTTTTATTTTATTTTGCTTTTCAGGTTGGATGCATATTTAAGGAATAACAACATACATGGATGAAGTGATTGAGATCAACGTTTTTCATTTTTATTATGATTTATTATATGTAATAAGACAAATTGACACTTGTAAGACATTTTTTGCATGTTGATTAGAATTTCAAAATTTATCTTGCATTAAACAAATGGATTTTGTTACTTATCTTTCTTCACATTTTTTCATTGTAATTGCATATTTAATTAGATCATCAAAGTAATCATTGTTCTAACTTTTTTTTTTTTGTTTTTCTTTGTAGGTTAAAGATGCAACGAGTGACTCTTGAAGCATAGTGGAAGACAATGGATAATTCTTTTATATTTAAAATTTCTCTATTTTTTTTTGAAAGTCATGTAGATTTTAATATGTATTGAGGAAAATTTGATATTTGTAATACATTTTAAAGAATGGATGTAATTTTTTTGGTAGAACAATGTATGTATTCAAATTATATATGGCATATATTGAATTATTATGACAATATAAGTATTGGCTAGAAGTTATTATATAATTTTCATGTGTTGTATGAATAAAATAGGTATTGCTTTATGGTGGCATTCTTAATTGTCATTATTTTATTATTTTATTTGGAATATAGTCACAGTTTTTCCATAGATTGAAGCAATTAGCTACGGTTTTCCAAAATATTTTGGGCATATATTGCAACTTTTAGCCATGGTTTGTCAAAAAACCTAGCTATAGGTTAGAGTATTTAACTTCAGTTTTAGCAAAAAAGAGTGGTTATAGGTTAGTACATTTAGCTACGGTTTTGTAGCAAACTGTAGCTATAAATAGAAGAATTATAGTTATAGTTTTGTAAAAACCCGTGGTTATAGATTTGGATATATAACTACCGATAATATAAAAACTGTAACTATATGCATCTTTTAGTTACAATTCAGCCTATGTGTTCGTCCTTTAACTATGGATAGAAACTGTAGCTATAAATGGGCTATAACCATGGATTAATTGAACCGTAGCCATAGGTTATAGTCACGCAAAAATAGGCTAAGGTTTTCTCCATAACTAAACTGTAATTATAGTCTATAGCTATAGTTTTATTGACCTTTAGCCACGGTTTTCCGTAGCTAAAGGTCATATTTCTTGTGATATTTCCAATACACCGCGGGAATATGATGTAGGACGTTGTGGGGGACTGATTTAAAGTTGGGTGGGGTGGGGGTAGAATAGAAGGTGAAGTAAAAAGTCAAAGAAACAAATAAAAGCTAGAGGAGATGGAAGTGAAAGGGGTAGAAAAAATATTATTAAAAGCTGCATAAATCGGTATACAACGGGGTGGGTGAGATCAAATCAGCCTTTACAACGTCCCATAACATATCCCTGCCGTGTATATAATGTCCCACAGCATATTCCGCCGTGTATTAGAAATATCTTCCATAATAATACTAAAAATGATGACATCATTATTGGGAGATGTTTTCAATACACGACGGAAATGTGATGTAAAACCTTGTGGGGACAATCTGGAAGGCTGATTTGANTTAGAATAGAAAATGAAGTCAAAAGAAACAAATAAAAGCTAGAGAAGATGAAGGGGAAAGGGGTAGGAAAAATATTATTAAAAGCTGCATAAATCAACCAATCCGCTGCTTTGTTTGCTTCTTGATAAACATGGCGATAGAAAAGGCCACAATCCAGAAACACATTCAGCTTCAGGACACACATCAATTATCGTTGAAAGGTTCCAAGGGGGGCCACCTGCTTCTTGGGGCTATAGATAACTAATAGGGAAGGTTTTTCCTTTCTTAAGTACCTCTATACAGAATGATTTATAAATTACATAAAAAAGTGTCATTTTTTGCCGTGCTAACTTATAATGAGAAGGTTTCTACCAAAAAACAACTCACAACTTGAAGGATTATTGAAAATAAAAGAGATAGATCTAGAGAGAGAGAGGAGAATTCAGGAATATTATTTATTTATTATTAAACCGAAAAAAAGTTGGGCATGGATGTTAGAAATAGAATGATGGGTATCACGTATATTTGGAGGTTTTGGTTTTAGTATTTAAATCACTAAATAATCTAATTGAGCCGGCTATTATTGACTCTCCTCCACCGAATGCACTTGACAACGACGAGCGGAAGTTGTTTGGAAACCGAGAGGTCGACCACCTGGGTCGAAGAACAAACCCAAGCCACCAATCGTTATTAACAAGACAATGACTGTGCCATGTTTGGAGGGATTTTTGTAGGAGGTCACCGTTTCATCTTCCTCTGCGAAGTCGTCTCTGTTTACTATCTCTCTTGCAGGACGTCACAGGTAGGCGTTTGGAGGGACTGTTGCAGGGTCATTCATCGCTGGGAGCACCGTAATTCTAGTTGCAGCATCTTTTATTAACCCTACTTTCCACTGTCTTCCTGGTTAAGATGAAGAAAGTGAGGACGTTAAAGCTGGTAACATGGTGGGTGGAAGCGATTCTTGCACGAGTAGCATGTCCATGTCTGTTTACAGTGTTGCAGTTCTGAGCCCTTAGAATTTCCAGATCCCCCCTGAAGTCTTGTTGTGGCCTCCCACCTCATGTCCTCCATACTGAGAACCGTGAATACCAGAAAGGAAAACAACAGAAAAAGAGAGGAATGGAAGGTGGTTGCAACCCTGTTTGTCCTTCAGATCGGACCTACCATTGGAGAAGTCGAAGAAGAAGAGAAGAAAGATACATCGCCGCCGCCGGAGCTTTGTCACCGTTGATTCGTTGTCGTCAACGCCGGAGCTCTGTCGCCGCTGATGAACAAGGGTTACTCTGTTGTATGGGTAGGATTCGGTGGAGAGAAACGAAAGAAAGAACTGAAAGAAGAAGAATCGAAAGGAAAAGGGGCTTTTTGATGGATAATCGACCGGTTTGTATTCATGCTAACTGGTTCGTTTCCATGTGAACCGGACCAGACCAAACGCACGTTAACATTGGCCTGGTCGACGTATCGATCACCCATTCACGAGTGCACTCGTCCATTGCACCCACGGGTGCACAGAATGCGAGCTCGGTCTTTTTAGCTTCTTGCCTTTTATTGTCAAATAGAAAATGACCAAATTTTGGCTTCCCTAAGGCTAAGGTTTAATTCTTTTTCTTTCATTGTTTTGGAAAACAAAAATATGGATAAGGTTTCTAAATTGAACAACACGTTCATTGGCATGTATCACATTTTCCACTCAAACGATTAAATGGTTGTTTTATCCCTGGTTAGCAGGTCCGGGCATGTATCACATCTTCCACTCAAGATCTTGGTTCGAGCCTGGCTTGAGGTTTAAATTCAAGAATTAATTAGCCAAAATTTAATCCTAATATAGCTGAACCTACTCAAGTCAAGATGAGGCCTAAGCAAGTTTGTCAGGATTTAAGGTTTCTTTGCTCTTGGATTTTATAGAATAAAAGAAAGCTATACTACTCAAATGCCATTAGAGAGCATCTGTACTATATATATAAAGTAAGATTGTCCATATCATCCTTTCTCCTTTTCCCCTTTCCCCTTTCCCCTTTCCTACCTCTTTCTAAACACACTCTCTCTCTCAATCACCTAAACCATCTCCCCTCTTAAATGCCATTCTAATGTCTTTTTCCCCTTCTCCTATTTCTATCTATCACTATTTCTCTCCATCTTCCATATCCATGAATTTAATTTTTTATCAATATATTAAAATATTGATGTTTAAGTTAAAACTTAAATATTGAAATAATGCAAGTAAAAAGTATCTAAAATAAGAGAAAAAAATAAATAAGGCAATGAGACAAATAATACAATTAATAAAATTTAATAGTTAATTAAAATTATCATTATAGTTATAAATAATATTTTAATATTTTAGTTATAAAACTTCTCTCTCTCTCTCTATAGGACGTTTTGGGACCCATGTATTTACATTGAAACCCTTTTGTGTTCACCGAACATACATTGTTATAAGAAGATGGGTCAATATGATGACTCAAATGGATTGGATCATTTCATAATCCCAAAAAGTGATTGTCCCATTTTATTTAGTTACTGATTCAAACAGATTTTGATTGATCTAATTTGTTTTGCCAAATCTATTTTATAAATTTTTAGAAAATATATCTTGAAAATTAATATTAGCAACACTATTAAGTAGCATTGTTTTGTTAAAGTATTAATTTAACTATTAACTAAATTTTTCAATAAAATATTTTTCTATTGTATTTTAATAAAATTTCTTTTAAAAGTTCACTAAACATTTTTTTATAAATTATGTGAAATTTTCCCTCCTCATTTTCTAAAAATATTTTTTGTGGACATGAATTGTCTCCTTTGGTTTATAGCTCCATTACTTTGTCAATCAGCTCCCCAGGTTTATCAGTTTCCTAGGAGAAGAAGGCAGAAGAAGAAATGAACTAAGAGCCTAAAAAGCACTACGCATGAAGAAGATGAAGTTCATGGGTCAGGTTATTTGAATACCCAAAAACGATCCAACCCACTAACTTCAATTGCCAATCCATAACAAACTAGACCAATCTAGTTTTACCATTTCAATCCCGTTATGCAATTTTCAAAACAAAGAGAGTAGGGTTTGATAATTTGAATACCCCAAAACCATCTGTCCGCTAGCTTCAATTACCAATTGGTCCAATTCATACTGAATTAGACTGGTTTGGTTTGATCAATTCGACGCAGTTATGGAATTTTGAAAACAAAAGGAGCAAATAAGGAAAAATTTTACTAAAAAATAGTTTTTCTTAATTAGAAAATAACAACAAAGTTTGAAAGAAAAATATTTAGGGGTGCAATTTGGGCGAGTTCAACCCGAGTCCAACCTGAGTTTTTGTATGGATTGGACACGAGTTTTGGGCTATGAGTTGGGCCTGAGAGGGAAACTAGGGCCTGGCCTAAATTTGGGTTAGGGTTGGGCTTTGGTTTCGGCCTCAGGTAGCCTATGACCGGAAAATCCCAGCCCAACCCAACTGAGCCCGCCAAAAAAATATGCATACATGTTTTTATTATATTTATATAAAATATCTTTTTCTTTCAATTATGTATATATATGCATATGTATAAAATATGTACATGTACATTTGTAAATTAAATTTATATATATTTTTAATTGATTCTATTCTGAAATTAGGTCATAAAACCCAGTAAAAGATGGATATATAAAAACATATACATAAATTCTTTCAGGCCAGATCAACTCACCCAAACTTGAATAAAATGACCCGGCCCAGCTCAAGCCCAATTTGGATTGTATTGGATTGAGCTTGTGTTGAGTTTGGGTTGATAAACTTGGACTTAACCAAGGGTTAGGCAAAACCCACCTTTGGACTTAACCAAGTGTTGGATTAAGCCCACTTTTCCAGAATTGCATGAGTTCACATCTCCTTCCCACAACGCCCAACAGCACATTCCTGCCATATATTGAAAACATATTTTAATACATGACGGGGATGTGCTGTGCGGCGTTGTGGGGCGGAGAT